TATATATATATAAACATATATATTACAGAAGATTACATCTTCTATACAGTATTATGGAACTTGGGAGTAGAGAGTAGGACAGCGATAATATGCGCACCGAGTAATTCTAAGAGTAATTACCTCGGAGTGGCAACTTATTGCCTGCCTTTTCTTCCTACTCCAAAGTCCTGTGATATGCTCAAAGCAGTACATATAAGACGTGAGAAGTGTATACCTCCCTCATCCTATATTCCTTCATTAGAATCGATTTACATCGATCTAATAAAGCGTGTGCTCTTTATAAACGATTGACAACTGTATCATGGAAATAGCTGACGTAAATCACGACCAGAAACAACCGGAACCAGATGACAACGGAATAAGGGCTAGGCGACGCCCTTTATCACAGCGAAGAGAACAAGCAGAGGACATATTCGACGAGATTGAACAGCAAGGCTACGCTTCCTTCGAGGAAGGCCCTCTATCTCTAGTGGCTCTGCGACTAGTTATGACCGAAATATCGACGGCTGGGAGCATCGATATCATCAACAAGTGCACTGAGAAATCAGTCGACCGTGGGTAGAGTACTGGCAAGCTCAAGGAAATCAGCAGCACCGAATAGGTATAGAAGGTGAAGTTTCCAAAAGACCTATGTACTAATCCAATTTCTGTCTCAGAGGGATATAAAGGTCAGTAGGAGCCGGTCCAGAAGGAACTGAAGAATACTCTCACGTGGGCTATCTTTCTAGCCAACGGTCTCAAGCAAATCCACTTAAGTGGATTCTAACCAGATCATCGCGAGCAGAGTTTAGAAGTAATTGAGGACCTAGTCCACGTCGCAGAACTTAAACGCATCCGTGTGCAGGGGGGATCAGTATTCACTAACGTGATAGAGAATCGGGTGCGTCCCAACTTTAAGTAACAAAGAAGCAGCACGAACTTAATCTCATCCGCGGCGCCAAGCCAGAGAATTGCAACCCTGATCCCAAATATTAAGCAAGGCAACCTTGATCCCAAGTAGACGGCCTCGCCATATGGCAGCAGATTCATCTGCTCTGTACCTCCAAGTACGGAAAGCCCTACCAGTATAGAGGGCTCACGGCGCATCAAGAGAACTGCTAAAGGCAATCAAATACAGCGTTCGTCCGACATGGAGGGGGAAGGCGCACCCGCGTCATCACGACAGGGCAGATGGATCAGCGTTTCGGAGGTGACGGACACTATAATCAAGGCAGAGTTGAGTCGACTAGAGGCGGGAGGAGAAATATGCAAGTGCCAGTAATCGGAGAAAACCTGATACACTCAGCATTTGTGATAACCTAAATCGAACGGCAACAGGGCACATAGCCCCACCAGTGTGAACGATCATGCGGAGAAGCAAGCTTACGTGCGGAGCGACTGGAAAGGTTGTCGTTGCCCGCCCGGGAGATGCAGCTTTGTCGACCGATTTGAAGGGCAGTTTTTATACATTGGCTGTGGCGCAGCCAAAATACTGGCAGTTCCGTGACAATTAAGGACAGCTGTGATGCTTTCTAGCACTACCGATGGGGGCGACGTTCATCCCTAATAATTCAACAAATCAATGGTCGTATTCCGCAAAGTTACGAGAGACAAAGGGATACGAATAATACTTTATGTAGGCGACTTCCTTCTGGTCGGTTGTCGAAAACGATTTATGAAGCACAAGCGCTTCAAAAGTCACCTACTGAATTCCTTAGGTTTATCGCTGGCCCCCGGCAAGGGTTGCTGGAATCAGCCAGTATATTGGCTCCCTCGCCTGAGAGTGACAATAGACTTCAAACAGAACAGTATCGAGATGTCCCTCTAATTTCAGGACGCAAGAACTACGCAATCAACGACGAGTGAACACAAGATCTGGCAATCATACTTAGGTTGCCTTCAATGGGTAAATTTCTCCACTCTCGGATTGCGACCTTTCGTAGCGGACTTGCAGCAAACGACCCTGTGGAATAGGCGACTTCGAGTTCGACTCTTCGATGCAGCATTAAAAAAGATAAAGAGAATGAATTTATTCATACATATCAATCTTCCAATCTAGGAAGATTTGGCTCCAGGAGCATCAAACAACACTCCCCTCATATTCATCGAGGATAGGGTATGGGGCGACACTATATCAGCAGGGCAGAACAACAGTCTTCTCAGGAATATGAAATCCAACAGAACAACGACGACCAATAACCGTGTTAGAACTAAAAGCACTCGTTATAGAGTACGAATTTTATCGCGAACAGCAAGGCATCGACGTCCTTCTACTACTACGATTGACAAGATTCCGGTACCGCCCTTCACGCGTTGAGAAAACGTCGCAGTCAATTGGAACTCATGAATGCGCAGCTGCGGTTTGAATGGTTCCTTGAGTTACATGCCCGAGAAACTCAACTTGGCCGCCGACGATCTATCACGGATGGACAAGTTGCTGGAATACCACTGGATGGTGCGATAATCGGACGTACTTCCGATCTTCAACCGATGGAAAATCAACCCCAATCCGTTGGAAAGGGATTATCCGCCAAGCTATTACCTGAACAAGGCGCATCATGGACACATCTCCTTCGCAACTCCTTACCACAACAAGTGGGACCAGACACCGGAAACAATGCTGGGACCCGTTCTCTCGCAACTGGACAAACGGTTTCAGAGGGCAGTAATCATCATGCCCGTCTGGAAACGTGCAATCTGGCGGCCGCACATCCGGTAGAATGCTTCCGACCTAGTTATCTTGGGCACGGGCGCCGTTCAGTACCCCGGCCACATAGCCAGAGAACTGGGATTCGAATACCTACCAACATGCCTGTACGCAGCCGTGCTATACAACCCAATCGGCAGCACGCCAACGTCAACGTCAACGTAGAATCAAACTTTCCCCGCCAACAGCTCGCGTGCTAACTATCAGCACGCTCTTACAATTTGGCAGGCTTATCGCGTCGCAGCACGTATATTGGCTACGCTACCATCATATGGACACCGTGACTTTATACAATATTGTTTCTACAAAGGGTATATTCCGGATCAAATCAAACAGATCCGTGCAACCATCAACATCCCAGCGCACGCCCATGGATAATCAGAAATACACGAACGGGCATGGACACAGGTCATCCAAGGCTACAGGTACATGTAAAACACGCAACATCCCAAGACAGGGGTAGATCAACCAAAGATGCTCGTCGACTGGATTCTCCACTGCAGGCAACAAATGCATTCAACCGGGGTGGCGTGCACATATCACCGTCTTCTGGCTGGTCCGCGGTCGCCACATCTCTAACCAGACATTGGAACCGGATTCCATTCAGTTTGTAGAGTATGGAGCGTAGCTGAAAGATACAAGTCAAAGAATACAATACACCTCTTTTCAAGTTCGATTATCTCAGCTAGGAAAAGTCCCTAGTCTGAGAGAACCGGACCGAGTCATTATTTGTGTTTTCACTGGATTCTGGATTTAATTGAGTGTTTCTCTCACACGCGGAGTCCAGGTATAGCTTACCGGTTCTACCGCTAATACTTCTGATGACTCTAATATCAGAAATATTCCAATCCTAATTCCAAAACTCAGTATTTGATTATTCTGGGTTTTGGGTTTTGGGTTTTAGGATGGCTTTTCGATAATCTGGTCCCTAGATGCTACAGCCCCCCAACTTTGTGCTTCTTAGCCTGCGTAGGAGTAGAAAGCGACATCTTACAGTACTAGATTATCTAGAGGTTGGTGTTTGTATACAGGGAAAAACTTGTCTTTTAGGGGACATAAGAAGAAAAACCTGCCACCATTATCTATTACATATTACCGATTACTTAAATTTATACTATAGCAGGAGTCCTCTACCACTGTAGTAAGTACACGTCGAGTAACTATATCTCAACGTTCTCCCTCCTCGGGGAGGGGGACGTTGTTCATTTATTAATATTTGTAAACCGTAATCCTAAGATTAATGACTCTCAAAATGAGTCATCAGTCATGTGCTGTAAAAACAGCAAAACCCTAAAACCCAGTTTATCAGATTATTCTGATAAACTGTAAAACTTATAATAGACCTAAAATAATCAAATAAACTACGTACTATAGTATTCTGACCACAACCTCCCCAAACTGAAACACTGGCCGAAGCAGTGTGCCAGTTTCAGAGATGATAAGAAATACTAAAGTACCTTATGTGCTGGCAGTTATCCTCCGAGAGCTAGAGCAGTGTGCTGGCAGTTATCCTCCGGGAGCTATAGCAGTGCGCTGGTATTTAACCTCTGAGAGCTGGAGGGCTCGAAGATCACGGTTCGAGCGTACCGTTCGACCAAATGGTCGTCAGAAAATTAACATTAGATTTGGGCGCGTTGGCGCTTACGTGTCCGTGTTTGCGAAGCTTTATGGTAGGCCACGATATCGTTGGCATCATCAAATGCTTCCGCTGTTTCCCACGTTGGTTCGCCTTCCCGCCATCTCACCAGGTATTCCAATTTCCCTGTCTCATCATTAGTACGGTGTGTAATAAAGTGGCGAAACTCAACACCTCCTTCAGTCCACAATTCATCGTTAAGTGGAGGGTCTGTGCGTCTATGCACCAACCGAAGGAGTTCCACCCGTACCGGTTTGTCCTTGAACTCTGGCGGAACGGAATCATCTTTGTTCGCTAACTCATAGCGTTGCCCGTGTCTGGCCTTTACAACATATGGCCCAAACAATGGCCGCATGGCCTTAGTTGTGCGGCCTTCTGAACGTACCATAACCACGTCCCCTTCATCTAAGTGTACCAAGTCATGAGCATGCAGGCGATCAAATGTCTTCGTTAGTTTGCCTGTATACTTCTTGGTAATGTGGTGGAGAGTCGGCAGGATGGTATCCTGCAACTGGTCTAACCGTTGTGCCCAGGTGTCATTCGTTATTGGCTGGGAGTTAGGCAACTCGTCAGTGAAATTGGCAAATGGGACGTGACGGCGGCCAAAGTATACGCTGAACGGTGCTCTCTTATGGCGGCGAGATATCCGAAGGTTCTGGTACAGCATCGTAAACGGAAGGCGTTCGTCCCAACGTAGAGGAACCGCCTCGCAGCATTGTCTAATGGAGCGTGTAATTTCCTTATGACGACGTTCCGCTGCGCCCAGCACTTGGGGTCGATATGGTGGCGACACCTTATGTAACATCCCCACTTCTTGCACCAAACGCTCCACTATTTTATTGGTGAATTCATTTCCCATGTCCGTTTGGATCAGCCGTGGAAAACCATGCTCGCCAAAAATCTCTACGAGTGTCTGTGCCGTGGTCTCCTTCGTCTTGTCCGGTGTGGCTCGGAGGACGGAGTAGCCAGTGGCGATGTCCAAGACGTGAAGTACATAATTGTTCTTGCGTCTGGACTCCAGTGGCATTGGGATGTAATCCACTTGGATGTGGTCCCATGGATAGCGTGCGTCAATACTAATCATCGGGTGGAAGCCTTTACGAAGTGTATCCTGGCCCAAACACGTGGCACACTGCCGCTTTACCTCTGTGGCTAATTCTAGTGCCCCAGGCCATACATGACCGTTCTGACGGAGTTGTTGGACTGTGTCCGCTGCCCCATGACGTCCCTGTTCATGTTGCGCTTGTGTAAGCCGTGTGTGTCGCTGTTGCTCTGCCGGAGTCGCCCGTTTAAACGCTGGTTGACTTTCGGCGTCCGCCATTGCCACTGAGATTTCGCGCGCTGTGTCTAAGCACATGTACTTTGGTTCTGCATACCCAAGTCGCTGTGAAAACAGGGTGTCCAACTTGAACCCGTTGGGGGGTCCCACCCGTGCTACTACCGTATGTCCCCAAGGTGTCTTCCCGCAGGCGTACTTGGCACGCTAGAGGAATGTATGAGGTGTTCGTGGGACCAATAGTGGATCTGTTTGCAATAACTGCTTGAACAAGTCAAACCATGGTGCTCTTGGTATCCATGCCAAGCATACCGTTGCCCGTGCGCCGTCCGCTCGTATCTTGCGTAACATCCTATATATCTGTTTCCAAGGTGGGTTCATCCATCCGTCAAATGTCGACCAGTCGTGAGCAAACGCGCTTTCTCCCTCATCCTTAGTCCAGAATCTAGGGAGCTGAGCGTTGGGTGGATCTGCAAATACATCTACGTCGTTCGGACCGAAGTGTTGTTGCGCTTGTTCAAAGTAACTAGGGAATAACTGCCAACAATCCGTATACAGTATTTCAGGTTCGTCCTGCTCCGCTGTTCCCTCATGCACTCTACTCAACATGTCCGGTAGCACATTCGTCTCTCCTGGTATGTGTGATATGGTGAAGTTGAACGGCGCGATGATGTGGTGCCATCTCTGAAGCATCGGGTTAAACTTGAGCTGTGTGTTCATATATACCAGGGCCTTGTGGTCGGTGAAAACTGAAATCCGTTGTCCATCCAAATACTCCCTAAAATGTGTGAGACCATATACTAGGGCGAGTAACTCCTTCATTGGTGTGGCATAGTTTTGTTGGGCGTAAATCAGAGTTTTGCTAAAGAACATTAAATAGTGTTTCTTCCCGTCGACCCATTGGAATAGCGCTCCCCCCAAACCATAGTCGCTCGCGTCGGTTTCCAAGTTCAAGGGTATACCGTCGACCGGAAAGTGCAAAGCGACCGCATTAGCCACAGCATCCTTCATGGCTTGCCACGCTAGTGCGTGCCTTTCCTCCCATCGGTCGCCGATCAACTCTTTCGGTTTGAGCTTGCAAAATTCGCGCAACTGCAACCGTATTCGCAAAGTTAGGGGGATGCTCATGGAGATAATTTGCCAACCCTAAGGCAGAGACTATATCTTTGTACCGTAGTGGGGTAGGCCAGTCAATAAGCTTCGCCTGTTTCTCATGTTCAATGTCTATGCCCTTAGCCGTCACCTTCTTTCCTAGGATCATCACTTCCGAAATGGCAAAGTGGCATTTGGCAGGGTTGAGCTTGAAACTGTGGTATGTTAAGCGTTGAATCACCTTCCGCACCGTCTCGATATGTTCGTCATAGTCATCACTAGCGATCACGATGTCGTCGATATAGTGATGGACCGGTATAGGCCAGTCAATAAGCTTCGCCTGTTTCTCATGTTCAATATCTATGCCCTTAGCCGACACCTTCTTTCCTAGGATCATCACTTCCGAAATGGCAAAGTGGCATTTGGCAGGGTTGAGCTTGAAACTGTGGTATGTTAAGCGTTGAATCACCTTCCGCACCGTCTCGATATGTTCGTCATAGTCATCACTAGCGATCACGATGTCGTCGATATAGTGATGGACCGGTAAGCCATCCAGTATCGTGCTCAAGGTTCGCTGGAACTGTTGTGTGAGTACGTGTAGTCCAAACGGCGCTGATGTAAACGAGTACTGGTAACGCTCGTGAGTGAAACTAAAGAGATATTGTGAGTCATGATGGATCGGTAGCCTATGATAAGCAGCCGATATGTCCAGCGTGATGTAGTACTTCTTACTCTTGAGGCGAGAGATCAGTTCGTTGACCTTGGGAATTAAGAACTGATCGCCTGGGATCAGGGCGTTGACCGTTCGCATATCTAAGCACACGCGTACCTTCTTCACATTCTCCTCTGCATCAAACGTCGGGACCGCGAGGAGCGGAAGGTTAACCGTCGCGTTATGACCAGGTTCGACAACCACTTCTGTACTTGCTCGTCTACGTATGGTAGCCACCGGTCAGATACGAAGTTACGCGTTGATCTGCGCATATGCATCGCTTGTTCGCGGGTTACCGGAATAGTAACCTCGCTCCCTTCCAGGCGACAACGTGCGTTGTCAGCAATCTTTGCGTTCGTTTCTAAGTCCCGTGTGAGTCGGTGTCGTGCATCGGCAGGTTCCGCTGTGCTCGGCGCCTATCGACGTGGGATTGGTTCGAGGAGCTCGTCGAGTTATGTAGGGTCGATAGGCGCGAGTGGAGATT